ATCAAGGCAATCTAATACAAATGAAGGCAACCTAATGTAAATTAAGCAACCTAATACAAATCAAGACACCCTAATACATATCAAGGCAACTTAATGCAAATGAAGGTAAGCTAATGCAAGTCAACACACCCTGATGCAAATCAGGCAATCTAATGCAAATGAAGGCAATCTAATGCAAATCAAGACACCCTAATACAAATCAAGGCAATCTAATGCAAATCAAGGCAATCTAATACAAATGAAGGCAAGCTAATGTAAATTAAGCATCCTAATACAAATCAGGCAATCTTAATACAAGTCAAGACACCCTAATACAAATCAGGCAACGTATTGAAGAAATCAATGCAAGCTAATACGAATCAAGGCAACCTAATACAAATCAAGGCAACCTATTAAACAAATCAAGGCAACCTATTAAACAAATTAAGGCAATCTAATACCTTGATTACCTGACTTCATTTACCCTTCTTTATCATACTGCCATTTCACTTTGACTTGATCCCAATTATGCTGTTCATTTATTTTCAGAAATTCTGCTAATAAATTCTGTGAATTTTCACGTTTTAATGATTTTATGGCAATTGTAAAGACAAAACTTCACGAAAGTCGTTGGCATTCCAAATCGTAGAACCCCAGGGAAATTTATACTGCTAGAAAATTTCATGATTTTTACTGACTCGTGAAATTCGTGACAATTTGTCTTTCACAAAAGCAGTTTTCAGTATTCCAAGCTCATTGCATCCAAATTTTGATTGTATATAATGTATATTATTGGGTTTAATTTTGTTTAATTTAAACATTTTTCAGGTATATGAATCAGGTTTATGCTCTGGAGGAGGAATCTTCGTCTTTATTTTTTTTATCATAATGGTTATTGGTGTAGTGTTAATAGAGGTACTTAGGATCCATAGAGAGATGCCATTGCCAGGTAACCAAATCTCCCTTTTTATCTTCGCTGTCGCCTTTGTGGAGCGGAGCCTATCATATGAGTGATTGTCTGTTGTTGTCCATGTCAACTTTTTGAAAACTACAATTCTTGCTGTTTTGATGACTGGACAACAGCCAACAGACTGAAAGAATATCGACTTGATAATGGTTATTTACTTTCCGTAAAGCTTCATCATGTGCAGAATACATAATTTATTTTCACTATGGCAGAGTGTATTCGGCAATGATCCATGAAGGAAAATCCTTACTAGTTTCTGGTGTTTGTAACTGTGTAGTGTGAGTTTGATTTAATATGATCCACCAGGCGATCAGCAGATGCAGTTATCATAAATGGACACGCGTTTTTTCCTTCCGTAGTTATTTTAACTTCAACTTCGAAACAAATGCCATCATAAGGATTCTGAACAGAAGATCAATGTGGGAATCGGCACGAGCGAAATTTCATCAAATCCGGCTCATGTTTTTGTTGCGCTCGTCTCG